TGAACAGATATGTGATGTAGATCCTTTGGCAACTGCCTAAGCCACTTAAGGGAGAGGGAAAAGGGTGATGGATTGAAAGGAGGAAAACAAGCAAAAAGTACCAGCAAGAAAGGAAACAAAAGTAAGGTACCAACAAGAAAGTAAAAGAAAGAAAAATGTACAAGCAATAAAGAAAATAAAAGCAAGAAAAGCAAGCGGAAAACCGGCCATACATAGGGGACGTTCCCACTCATAAAGCTGATGCTTAGGCAAAGAAAGCTGAAAGTCAGTAAGGTGGAACTGATGCTTAGATAAAGCTGCGAGATCTCAGCTTTACCCAAGCATCAGCAGTATGATCCCTCAGCTTCACCTAAGCATCAGCAAAAAGATCCCTGAGCTTTACCTAAGCATCGACTTCATAAACGCGAAAGCTTTACCTAAGCATTAGCTTCATGAATGGGAAAGCCCTTTGCTGATAAAGCTCCCTTACTTATGAAGCTGATGTTTAGGCAAACCTTTCGTATGCAGCTGATGCTTAGGTAAAGCTTCCGTGTTTACGAAGTTGATGCCTAGATTAAGCTGAGATCTCGCGCCTTTATCTAAGCATTAATTTCACCTTATTGGCTTTCAGCTTTCTTTACCTAAGCATCAGCTTTATAACTAAGGATGTCCCTTGCGTATGGCGGGCATTCCGCTTGATTTTCTTGCTTTTATTTTCTTTATTGCTCGTACTTTTTTTTTCTTTTACTTTCTTTCTTACTGGCACTTTCCTTGCTTTTATTTCCTTTCTTCCTGGCACTTTCTCCTTGTTTTCCTCCTTTCAATCCATCACCCTTTTCCCTCTCCCTTAAGTGGCCTAGGCAACTGCCAAAAGAACTACATCACGTAGTTATTCAGTGCACTCACCCGACCCGTCCCCCTGCCTCGAGTCTTTTCGCGTGAAACCCGCACATTCCATTCCCCTTCCCCACCGCTTACCACACCCCCTCCCCGCATCTCGAATGCGGCACCCAAAAGTGTGCTCATGCACTGCCAATCCTCTTCCCCCTCCCTTCTCCCCTCTCTCAAACTTCTACACTCTCTGCAGTATATCCCCCTCCTGCGCATTTGCGGTAAAATCAGCACACGGATCCTTCTTCTATCCGCTCATCACCCCTCTCCTCTACGTGGCCACCCCACGTCCCCACTCAACTCACCCAATCACCCCTTCCCCAGTGCCTCCGACTCCCCCGTCACCATTCTCACGCAGTAGCCCCCTTTCCCCATCCCTCCCTGTACCTTTCCCTATCCTTACCCCCCCCCTCTCCCCGCTTATCCCATCCCCCTCTTTCCCATCCATCCCCACTGTCCTTACCTCCCCTCGTCGCGCCTTCCAACGTTCCTCCTGTTTCCCCCACTCCCCTCCTTCCCTGTCCCCTTCTCCCCGTTCTGTCCCCCACTACAATGCTTATAAACCGGCAACTCGTGCCGATGCTGAGGCCGGCTGAGGTACGGCCGAGGCGAGCTGAAGCGGCCGAGGTGAAGCCGAGGCGGCTGAGGTGAAGCCGAGGCGGCTGAGGTGGAGCCGATACGACCGAGGGCTGGCCGAGCCGAGCTTTAGTAGTTGCCGTTGATGGTCTTGTGTTCAGAATTGCCTTCACTTCTGGCAGAAATGCTGCGGTTTCTTCGGTGTTGAGATAGTTCCAATAGTTCTAAGAATATTTTTCACCAGTCTCATCATCTTTTCATACACGCCACCTTTCCAGGGTGCCCCCTCTGTGATAGAATTGCCACTGAATGTTCTCAGCCATTGTTTCAGTTTGTACTTCTTGGCGGCTTAATGCTCTTTTCCATGCGGAATCGGTCGTGGCGGAGAATACTTTGAATGCTGGTGTATTATCTAGTGTTATTTCGGTTGTGTTTCCTCGTCGCGCTATGAATCACCGAAGTCCGTTGAGAAAACTTTTCGCTGTCAAGTTGTAAATCAATTCCAAGTGAATTGTTCGAATCGTAAAACGCGTGAATACACAAATCCATCTTTTTTCCTTTTGTTGAGATATTTTTATCAACACTGGACCTAAATAGCTGAGCACGACGAACTGGAATCGCTTGTGTTTCTGCACTGTACTTTCCGTATAGGGTGGAAATGCAGGAGGTTGGTACGGTTTGGAATCCCATCTTCGACACTTCATACAGTGCCGTGTCATGACACTTTTTACCGTTGTTCGACCTGCCGGGATCCAATACTATTGCCGTAGTATTGCTAAAGTGTGCACCGGCCCCGTATGTCCGTTCCGTTTGTGATGGTGTATTATAACTGATTCAGTTATCTTTGATCTGCGTGGCAGGAGGACTGGACACTGTGTACTTCTTGGCAACTGCGTTTTCGTAAATCTTCCTCCGCACCGTAGATTCCATATTCATCTACCCATAATTGAAACTGGCGACGAAGCTGATCATCAATCGCGTCTTGTTGGCTGTATTTTATCAAGCAATGCTCTGCTATCAGGAGATCAGTTGTTTGTAATGGTCCATTACTTGAGCTTAGCTTGTAGGGCAATTTGTCATTTCCTGTGCTTCTTCGGTCAATCTTTTTGAGAAATCGAAATGCATAGGCTGTTACTCTGCGTAATCTGTTCCACTTATTTAAGCGACTGATGTCGACGATTGGAAACGCTTTAGTCAGCACTGAAGCAATGACGTGGTGTGTTATGTCTTCCACTTCGTCCTCGGCATCCTGTAGCGTCCATTCAGGCCAATTTTCTGTGTTTTCTTTGAGAAATGCTGGTCCAGACCACCACAGCTCATTATTCCTCAATTCGTTAGCAGAAACTCCCCTGATGAGTAAGTCTGCTGGATTGTTGTTAGTCGACACGTAACAAAATTTTGCTCCAGAATTTCTTATCTCTTTCAATCTGTTCACGACAAACCGCTGTTGTTCCTTCCTTGATTTTATCCAACATAGAACACACTGTGAGCCTGACCACAGATACTGCTCTACTATTTCCAAGTGCAATTCCTTACAAGTGTATTTCAACAGTCTTGTGCCGATAAGGACTGCCAGGAGCTCCATTCTTGGGATTGTCAGGCCTTTTAGTGGTCGAAGGCGATTTTTTGACGTTATTATAGTCGACAGCACCTTTTTCCCACAGTTGTTTCGTATATAAGCCGCGTAAGCGTCCTTTGAAGCGTCCGCAAAACAGTGCATTTGAAGACGACCGTACTGTTTGAATTTCGCCGTAGTGTTAGAAAGTCTAGTCCCTTCGCTACTGCTAAATGTCTTTCGAATTTGATCTTTGCTGACGGCAACTCTTCATCCTAACTATGTTTTTCTTGCCATAGTTGTTGAAGAAACGCTTTCATTAGTAAAATTATCGGTGAGATTAAACCCAGTGGGTCATAAATCCTAGCAACTAAGGCAAGTATCATTCTTTTGCTTAACGACTCGGTTCCTCTATCCTCATTTAGTAGTTTGATATGTAGCACATCAGCTTCTATATCCCATGTGACACCGAGTATCCTTGTGATTCTTCCAGATTGGCGATCTTCTTTTATTGCTTGATTGGCTTTTGAGTTATTCGAGAGGAACTTCCTCAAATTCATTTTTGCGTCTTTGAACAATTTCTTAGCTTGATGGTATTTTTCAATTGTCTCATCAGTGGTCTCAGCATCAAGCGTTGCATTATCAACATACAAATTATCCATTAATGCCTTGGCAAAGGGTGTTTTGCTTTTATTCAAATGATGTCGTATTAATGCGGCTAGAAGAAATGGACTACTTATAACCCCGAACGGCACACGTTCAAATCTGTAGATGATAATGTTCTCCTGAGTTACTTGTTGCTTTTTGTCTTGAATCCACAGAAATCGTATGACATCGCGATCATTTGGGTTGAGTTCTATTTGATGGAATGCCTTTTCAATATCACTGACCATCACAACTGCTCGCGTCCGAAAACACAGGACAATACCGCAGAGGTGAGGCAGAAAAAATGCTTCGTTGAGATTTTGTTGCTGTGCTTTTGCTTTTGATGACGCGTCGAACACGATGCGCAGCTTTGTTGTTATGCATTTTTATGCGTTTTTTGCAGCAATGCAATGCGAAAAACGCATATTGACGAGAGGTTGTC